CCCCTCCTGCAGACTGGCGCGTCCCCTGTGATGTCGGCCGCGCGGCTCCTGGACACCCACCTGCACATCAGCACCAGCCCCGAGCCCCTCCCCACTGGGGCCCTGGCGCCCTGCTTCACCAGGCTGGTCCCGGGCTGCGACCCCACTGCACGGCTGCAAGGGGACTGCGAGATGGAGGACTTCACCTCTGGCCAGCAGGGGACGTTCGTCCTGGTGCAGTGAGGATGGTCCCGCTGCATCTGCCTGGCTTTTCCAAGCAATAATTTCAGAGTATGTGAAGTGTTTTTGGACTCAAAGCCAAGAACTTTTCTAGAAGCAAAACAAGCAATACGTTAGGTGTATGGGCTTTTAGTTCATTTTTTGTTTTACTTTTTTCCTTGCACTGAATGACCTCAACTCCGAGTAGGGACTGGAAACTGAAGAAAAATAATCGAGGGTGTGTTGTGCAGGTGGGGGGTGGGGGAGCGGGATGAGGGAAGACCGCTGGCTGCGGGGCCGGCAGGGCAGGGGCCTGGGCCCTCTGTCCACAGCTGTGTCTGGAGGTGACGGCCCTGACCATCCCTGGAAGGTCCCGAGCAGCCACGTGTGTGCGTGCGTGGCTCAGTATCCTTTGGTTTTAGTTGATGGTTCTCCACTTCCGGAATTTATGCTTCAACGGAAACTGTGAACTTGCTGCTTCGTGTGTGGGTTGGCACAGCCCCAGGGCCGCCCGGGAAGGGGACTCGGGACGTTGGCTCGGAGGGTAGTCTTCTCGCTTGAGTGGGGAGCTGAGTGCACTCCTCAGGAGTCCGTTTTCCAGCACTGTTGGGAGGAACTGCAGGGAGGACTTGGGGCGGGGGCCACGGCCGAGGGCTCTGTCCCAGGGCACTTGGCCCAGAGCCCCTGGCACCTCCAGGAAGCCAAGAGCTTTCTTCTTGCTGCGCATCTCGTTTCCGCTGCTAATCACTGAGTTTTTATGCATTTCATTATCAGGGTCCAATCACAACACCTGACCTGGGGGAAACGGTGCAGTGTCCCAGGGCTGTGACAGACTCCCCGTCCTGGTGACACAGCCCCGGCACCCAGGCCCACACTCTGGGCGTCTGGCTTTCATTCAAGGAAGATGCGGTGGGAAGCTTAGGTCAGTGTTTTTAGAGCTGTGTCTCTTTTTTTTTTTTTTTTTTAAGCAAATACTGTATATTTATATAAATAGGAGACCATAGACACTACTTATTTTTTATATTTTTTACTACACTTTTGTGTTCCTGGTTAAAACCTCCCTCTTGGTCACCCTGGGTTAGTGTCCCTGCAGCACCGGGTTTGCTGAGGAAGGGGCCACAGCCACCCCTCAGCACTGGCGGGGACGCTGGGCAGGGGCGGCCAAACCTCAGTGGGACAGAGGCCACCACCATGTCCCAACTGCCGCAAGGCACGTGCCCGTCCCCTCCTCGCCCAGGTGCCTTTGCTTCCCGTGGCTCTCGCAGCCCAAAGTATTGCACAGGGGCCACCAAGAAAGGGGCAAAAGAGGGACTTTTCCAAAGCCAAAGATTGACAGAGTTACCTGAGGGCAGGAAGGAGGCCCACACGTGTTGGTGTCGCAGTGTGGCCCCCGCCCGCTGGCCACCTGTGGCCTCTGCACATGTGCTGAGCTCCATGTGTTGCTGCGGTGCTCTGTGGCTGCTTAGGGACGGGTGAAGGACCATCCTGCAGAGGGTGGACCTGGCACCCGGCCACAGAGAAAACACCAAAATCCCCTGCCTGCCACCTCCGGACGCCGCTGGCCGCCACCTGCCTTTACCTGCAGGAAGCAGCTGACCTTCCCGCTCGTGTGATCAAAGGCCTCGCGCCACCCGTGTTTCTCTCTGAAGCAGCGACAAGCACTTTACTTTCCAAGCGGTTTTGTTTTTCCTTAGCACTGTAGACCTCTTTGAGAGGACGGGAAAGTGTGTTTTTGTTTCTCATCTTTTTAGGTGTGTGCAGTGTTTTGTAGATTTCCCGACAGCGCTGTACTGCAGACTCCTGCGGTAGCCTATTTAAAGACACTACGTGATCTGGTTGAGATGTATATAAATTTTTTTTACCATAACAACTGTTTCGTTTCTTATGTTAACGTGAGAGATGTATGCCAAATGATCAGCTGATGTATGTTTTTTTAATTTAATATTTAAATAAAATATTTGGGGGAAAAGACTTGGATATTTTTCCCTGGATTCGTCCGTCTGGAAACCATCCTTCTGAGCCACTTCTGGAGGAGGCCACAGCCTCCAGCTCCCTGATGTTCTCCGGGTCTTGAGCCGGCATGGTGACTGTGCTGGGCTGGCCTCGTCACGCAGAGCAGCAGCTCCTGGCCATCCACGGCTGTGGTCCTTCCTCGCCACCGGACCTGCAGGTCTGTGTGGGGCTGGCTCTTCTCCCAGTGCCGCTGGCCCTGTTCGCCCTCACTCTTCCTCTGACGTGTTCTCCAAAGCCACAGAGTTTCTTTAGGTTATAAAAAAAAAAAAAAGCTTGTGGACTCCTAATGCCCGGTAGGTGGCTGTCACTGAAATAGCCCTTGTGTGCACCCCAGGAAACAGCCTGGAAGTCCTGAGGAAACGGGGCCCAGAATCCCCATGCAATGCTGCAGTTCCGCTGCTGGGTCTGTACCCCAAAGAACCGAAAGCAGGTCTCGAAGAGATTGGCCCCCATGTGTCTGCAGCAGCATCCTCAGTAGCCAAAGGGAGGAGGCAACCGCGGCCTCCACTGACGGAAGGCAGACAACACAGGGTCTGTCCCTGTGGAAGAAACTGATGCGTTGCGCCATGAGCGACCCCAGAGGACCACTCAGTGATGTAAGCCAGGCATAACGACAAACAGGATTCCACTCTCGAGAGACTTAGAGCAGTCGAGTTCCCAGAGACAGCAGTGGGGCCAGTTGCACTGTGGGAAGATGGGAGAGCTGTGGAGATGGGTAGAGGCACCGGCTGCACAGCTGTATAATGCACTTCAGCCCCTAAAATGTACTTTTGGGGGGGGATGTTTTGAGACAGGGTCTCACTATGTATTGAGAGTGACCTGGAACTCACTAGGTAGCCCAGGCTGGTCTCCAACTCACAGTGATCCTCCTGCCTCAGCCTAGTGCTGGGATTACAGGCGTGCACAACCATGCCCGGCCCTAAACTCTTAACGGTGAGCCAGACAGTCCAGTGTCGGGCAATGTGTATTTTGCCACAATTCAGAGCTATTTCAAAGGACGTCGGCGTGGACAGTCACCTGCACAAGGAAGGGCTGGGAAGGGCCGTGGCCAGGAAGAGTGGGAGCAAACCGCTCTTGGCAAGAAAGCTCTGCTGGGTTGCCTTGGCAACTTAGAATATGCGGCCAGGGTCCTGGGGTGCACGTGGACTAGAGCTCCCAGGAGTGTCCCACCCAACAGGGTGGCCCGTGTCTGCCTGTGGCCGGGCGGGCTCAGTCACCCTGGCACCCCTCTCTGGACGGGAAGACCAGACCTCACACGGCACCAAGAAGCTCAGCCACCCGAAGTGGAGCCACGGCTGGGGCTCCTGATGTCAGCTCCGGAGAGCAGGCCCGACCTGGGGGTCCATTTGGCTCCTGGCGTTGGCTGTTCGGTCTGTGGGTGCCTGCGCCTAGGAAGAACCTGTGTGTTGTTTGGGAAAAGTGTTGGAAACCAGCAAGGCCTAGTGCAAAATCCTGAGTTTGTCTCTCTGGAGCGTGATGGTGAGTGACATTGCATGTGCGTGTGTGGTGAGGCTGGGGGTGTGGTGCTTAGAATTCTCAGCTTGGCAGTTGGAGCCCAGCCCCTATGAAGGAGCTTCCCGGAGACTTGGCGGAACTGGAGCTCTGCCCTGGGCCATTCAGAACTCCATTCCAGTCGTCCAGCCAGGAGCCTGCATGACGTGGGTGTGCTCCTCTGGTGTTCGAGGCTGGTGCCTGCCCAGGGTCCTCCCCGGAAGCACCTAGGTCTGTGCCGCTGACTTCTCACCAGCCGTTTTTGTGGCCACGCATGAGTTGGCTCATGCAGGGAAGGGACTGGCTCACCCAGCTGCTGGCTGCACCCCTGAGGAATGGGTTGCCCAAGGGCTGCTGACACTTCCTCCTGATCCTTCTGGTGAGGGTCCAGGTGTAGCCTGGGATGCTTGTGTCCCCGCTCATCCCAGCTGGCCCAGCCCAAGTATCAAGGCGAGCAAGACCTGGCCTTGCTGTGCCACCTAAGTGTGCATGCCCGCTCTGCAACTTCCCAGGCCTGTGACTAGTCTGGGCTGCACCTTGGCATTCCTTTCCTGCTTTTTGAGACAGGTTTACTATGCAGCCCAGCCTAGCCTCATACTTGGGATCCTTCTGCCTCGGCCTCCCAGATGTTAGGACCACAGGCAAGCACCACCATGCCCAACTCGACTGTCTTGTTTTCGAGATAGAGCGTATGACTGTGGTGCCCACTTCACACTGAGCTCCTGTGAAACAGCCCAGTGCCTGGTGCACAGAGGGTATTTGTGAATGCCAGGTGTCCCTGAGTGTCATGCTGCAAGGATGCCGTTTCTTGCAGAGGACGGGATGGGTGGGGGGATGTGCATCTCTGCTTCTCCATCAGCCTCAGGAAGGAGCCACTCTGGTGGCCAGCAGCACTGTCCCAGGGCTGGGACTGCACAGGTCCCTGGGGAATTATGCAGTGGTGAAGGGGACTTCAGGCAGGCACTGGAAGCAGGAAGTAACCCTCAGGGGGAACTGGCTTGCTGGGGACAGAACAAAGAGTGCTGGCTTGTTAGTTTTTCCCCCCGGAACGGTGGCAAGGGATGCGACCCTGGTCTAGGGGCCTCTGTGCACGTCGTGGGCTGTGGGTCCTGGGCGTGTGGCGAAGTTTTCCACGAGGGCTCATCTGCAGGCTCCAAGGTCACACCCTTTGCTCTCAGCTGCACTGGGAGCTGGGAGAGGGGAACAGAAACCAGAAGGGCTGGCATGTGGGCATCTGGGCAAGGCCGTAAGGGCAGAGCAGGGGCAGAGAGGGCAGGTGGGGGAGCCTGTTCACTTTCAGTCTTCAGGGAGCAGCTCTGTCCAGTCCCCTTTATTAGCATTATTTCATGTATTTGAATGTGATTTCTGTGGAAAAACCCAAAGGACTGAAAAACACGCAGGAAGCCGGGTGGTGGAAGGGGCCCTGCTTCTCCTTTCGCTGTGAGCCGCTGTGTGGAGGAAGCTGGTTTTAGGGGTTTTCTGTGCAGCCAGAGGGGAGGATCCACCTCTTCAACCCCCACGTGTCCCCTCCCCTCCCCAGGCAGGAGGCTGGGGCAGTTCCGGTGGCAAGGAGTGGACCAAGGCTCCACGAGGGAGGCTGCCACCCCCGGGAAAGCGCCCGCAGCGCCCTGTGGCAGCGAGAAGAGCGTGGAGTTTCGGCCACTGAACTTAGCGCGCAGAGGCCCTGTTACCAGAGCCCTGCTGCTCAGTCCCCCGCCCCTGGCAGGCGTGGGGCCGGCTTCCTGCCTTTGTGGGCTGGTTTGGAATGGAAGCACTGTGTGCTTTGTGGGTTCGGCTTAGTGAGGCGGAGATTCACCCACGTGCCGCCTGCCACCACCTCATCCTCTGCTGCTAAGCAGCCCTTGTGGTGTGGGCTGTGGCGGTGTGGACCATGGTGGCGCATGTGTCCACTCCCCCGACGGTGGGCGGTACCTGCAGTGCAGCCGGATGGCAGTGTGGACGAGTGGTGATGTGTCCGTCCACTCCCCTGGGGGTGGGCGTGTGGGCTGCTTCCAGCTTGAGCCGTCACCCATGGTGCCGCTGTGCATGTTTACTTAGGCGCCTGTGTGGGCGCTTTTGTTTCTCCTGAGTCATAGGGGTCAAAGGGCAATGGCTAGATCCTCTGGAATGCCACCTGTCAGCCCAAAGCTGCGGACTGCCCCCCGGGCAGCTGCACTGGTTCAAGGCAGAGTTGCCCTCTTGTCCCTACCCTTGCCAGCACTTGGTAACCCTGGCAGCCTTGTAGTCCCTCATGATCACCTCAGGATTCTTTTTTGGGGGGGGTACCAGGAATCGAACTCAGGACCTTGTGCTTGTGAGGCAGGCGGCAGAACCACTGAGCTAAACCTCTGGCCCCCTTACCTATTTTTAACTGGGCGGCTTGAATTTGTATTATTGAAGTATAAAAGTTCTTTATATATTGTCTGGAAATCTCTGTTACAGGGGTATATTTGTGGATACACATGTATTTACATGTACACACAGAAAGAGAAAATTTGTCTCAATTTGTGGCTTGCTTTTCATTTGAAGAAGGAAAAGTTGAAGGTTTTAATGGATGTAACATGAATTTTTATGAATTCTAAACTTGTCATTTTATACTTTGATGGTTAGTGCTTTTAGTGTCTTTACTTATGAGATCTGTGTCTACCTCAGTGTTCTCCAAATTACTTTTGTGTTCTAGGTCCCTTGCATTTCATAGAGATTTTAGAGTCAGTCTGTTAATTACTCCAAATTGATTTGAACTTACACTTTTGGGCAGAATTGGTATAATTTCTCCCTTAAATGTTTGATGGAATTCATCACTGAAGGCCTTGGGGGCTGGAGTTACATTGTGGGAACATTTTAAATTCAAAATTCAATGTTTTAAGAATGATTTAAAACTATTCAGATTTCCTATTTCCATTCTGAGTGAGCTTTGTAAGTTCATGTGGGAGGTACGATGTCACCGAACTGCCCACTTTTATTGTGTTTTGTAGATTGGTGTTCTTTTTTTATTTAAGGGAATGGGGTTTATTTGGCTTACAGTTCGTAGAGATTTAGTCCATAGCCAGCTGTCTCCAAGGCTGGGATGGCAGACAAGCATCAAAGATCAAGAGGAGAAACAACATGGTGCACACAAGGCAGCAAAGGCAACAAGGGGGAGAGCTTCAGTTCACGGCAGCAGAAGACAGCAAAGTCAGCGAGAAGTTTCCAGCATCTTTCTGCCCCTTTTATCTTATTGAAATCACTGGGATTAGGGCGGTGCCTAACCAATCACTCACCTAGTGGTTTAGTAATCACACACCCTCAACCCCAGCAACACACATTCCAAATTCAACTACCTCTAACAAAGAAAGTCCCACCTCATCCATGTGAGGCTTGGGGGGACGTCTGAACACAAGCCGTAACCTTCCGCCCCTGGCCCCGCAAAGACTCACGTGTATCCCTTTGTGCCGAAAGGCATTTAGTCCGTCTCTAAGAGT